AGGTTCAGTAAGTATAAATGAATCTGCAAATGGAGCTTTTCCTTTGTTTTGATATGCAATACATTCTTTATAACGTTTTTGTTGCTGATTTTGAACTTGATTAACAAAAGATTTCCAATTTTCCTTTGTAATTAAATCTAAAGTATCACGTACAGAAAACCAAGGATGAAAATTTAAAACCCTATCTTTTTGGCCATTTCAAGTCTTGAAAGTTTGCATTGAAAAAATCCATCATTTCTTTTATTTTTAATTGTATGATAAATGGTCCATAATCGAAACACAAATACCGATAATGTAACACGTTCATTTTCATCTGGTGAAAGTGCAATTTCGATGTTGTGAATATAATTCATGCAGAATCAAGAAAGGAAGCTTATTGAATGTTTCCCATTCAAATTCTTATCAATAAAAATAATGTCTTCTTGTTCAAGCTCCTGTAAGAGAAAATTTGGTAATATATATTTAAAATATATATAAAGGTTCAATTATGCTGTGTATCCATACCTCAAATTTACGCTTTTTTTTGTTCCAATTGATTCTACTTGACTGATACCAATATCAAACAAACTATATGCTACTAATAATGGAATAATCTTGGTATTTTCTTCTTTTTTAAAGTGATCAAAGTAATGATTATATTTTGAATTAATGATTTCCTTTGTTCTTTTGATAAGAATTTCATAGAATTTTGGATTGTTCTGCAATTTTTGTAAGAAATGGCGAAATCCCGCATAATAGAACTTATTAATAGTAGAATATTGATGATGATTCATATCAGCATATCCAATAACGTCCATCTGAAATATCAGTATTTCTAAAAATCGTCCAACCACACCAAGTAGTTCAATTATATATTCCAAATAAACAGAGAGTTCCAAAATACTGTATATAATAATATATTAGATTTTTTTTTTTAAAAAAAAAGCAACAAATATTTATAAAGTAAAGCATATAACATAAATTTACCATTCCGCTGAATCTTTATTCTAATAATATAAATATACTAGCTTACATATGCTTTTAAAGGCATTAGCATTAAACCCAAATCTTTAGCTTACCTGTTCACGATTTGCTAATTCAAGAATAACTTCCTTGGCATAATTAGTCTTTAGTAAAGGTAAATAAATTTCTTCAAATTTGGCATTTGTTGATTTAACAGTACTAAATAGACTGCTTGCGTGGGTTCCGGTTAGAACAGGAAAGATAAAGTAATGTCGAAAAATCATATCTGAGAGTGATTTGACAACTTCTTTAAGAAATATGTCTCTATTTCGTTCAAATATTGAGTTTGTTTCATCAATATTGATGATTATAAGAGGTAGGTCCGAGTTGTTATCTACATTTGGAAAGTAAGAAAGAATAATATCAAGAATTTCGTTAAGGGCAATAAAATGTCCCTTAAATTTTTCACAAAAATTCTCATAAGTTGAAATTTCAGTTCTGTAAGGATGAGAAGTGATCAAATCAGTATAATTAAAGTAATAATTATTATGATCAACATGCAAGGTCTTACTTTTTAAGCTTATATTTCATTGCCTCATAAAGTAATCTTAATCCAAATACAACCTCGGGTTCCTCTTTAAACTCATCTATAGTGAACTATCACATGCTACGCGAAAAGACCGACCTGTATAAATACAATTTTTTACTGCAACTGCAATTTCAGGTCTCACTACTCCATGATATTTGTCTTCATTTTCATAAGCACGTCGAGCAAACGTTGTTTTGCCTTTCCCAGCTGTTCCTACAGCAGCAGCAAAATATAAATTTTTCAAAGGTTATACATATTCTCCTTGATTTGTCACAAGCTGATGTAATTTGTCCATATTTTTCATTAACTGCATTATTGCATTTTCACGACTCACAAATTTCAAATATGTTGATATATCTACTGTATCATTAGGGATATTTTCAGAGTTGGAGAGTGATCTGAGAAAGTTTTTACCATTATTAACGTATTTGTCAAGTATGTCTTTGATTTTAGCAGATGTTAGCTTTCTTGTTGACAAATTAACTATAAAGAGAGAGAATAAAATCACGTAGAATGACAATAATAGAAAGAGGAAATAGTCACAAACTAACAATATACCAAATGTACCCTCATATGAAACGAGAGAAAACGATTTTTTTACACAATTTGTTCATTACCTTTCTCTTCTTTAAAATCGGCTAATTTATTTTGCAACTTCATCACCTGTTCTTCCCACTTCTCTTTATTCTATACCAGCCACTCCTTTTCGCCATATTCATCTTTTTCTCCTTTGTAATCTTCTTCTACTTTCTTCCTCTTCAAATTCTTCAGCCTCTCCTCCCAGTCCTCCTTCCACCTCTTTAAATTCTCCTTCGCCTCTTTATGTTCTCCTCTTGCATCTTTTAATTCTTGTTTAATTTCGTTGATGGTTGCCATTTTTAAAATTAAATTTTGTATTTTAAAAATTGTTACTATGCATAATTTTGACCAATGATAAATTCGCGCTAGTGAGCACATGACTTGGACAAAAGAGAGATATATAAATGACTGCGTCATCCCAAAAACTAATAACGTTACATTTATTTTTTAACGGAATGTCTCCAACCGAGATTCACCAACTTAACTTTGGTCCCATCACGGCCCATGCTTTCAATAAAGATCGAACACGTTAGTTAAATTTTTTTTTTTTCATTTGTATCTTGAACCACCATATCTCTCAAAGAATGAGTTTCTATAATATTTTTAATAGAGGTTGCAGTTTGTCCTAATAATAATGAAGTACAAATATATACAAAGGCTGGTAAAGGCTGGAATTTAATACATACTTTAGCTGAAGTTCGTATTTAAAACATTTTACAACACTATCAAAAACTATTTCAAAAAGATATTAATTGAAATTTAATCATAAAAGCACGATAAACTTGTAACAGGCATCGATTGGGCTCCAGAATCAAATCGACTGGGTTCGTGATTTATCATTATTTACTTGACAAAATTTCATAATGTCGGAGATTTATATAATTCTGATTATTCCGTTGAATTCATCATGATTCTTTAGTTACAAGTTCTCAAGATCGTAATACTTATGTATGGAACTTTGATACAGAAACCAATGAGTGGAAACCAACTTTAGTGTTGCTTCGAATTAATCGTGCTGCAACATTTGTTCGGTGGTCTCCACATGAAAATAAATTCGCTGTTGCTTCTGGAGCGCGTGTTATTGCTGTATGCTACTTTGATGAAGAACATAATTGGTGGACTAGTAAACATCTGAAAAAACCAATTAGAAGTACTGTATTAAGTCTTGATTGGCATCCCAACAATGTACTCTTGGCCGCGGGTAGTGCCGATTTCAAGGTTCGTAAATAGTATTATTTTTTTTTTTCTTCAAATATCCTAATTTGCCATTGTTTTTTAGGCACGTGTTTTCTCGGCTTTTATTAAGGGCGTTGATCAAAAGTAACTAAGTGATGAATCATTGTTTATTTATTAACAAATGAAAAAAAAAAATGCTTATATAAAGTATATATTATCAATTCATTCTAGACCACCACCAACAGCTTGGGGTGACAAACTTCCATTCAATACTATCTGCGGCGAATTTTCCAATGGCAGTGGTGGATGGATTCATTGCGTTGCCTTTTCGCCAAGTGGTGACGCATTAGCTTTTTCAGGTCACGATTCTGTCATCAGTATTGCTTATCCCGGGGGTGCTATTCAAAGTGTTGGATTGACTAGTTTACCATATTTAAGTTTAATTTGGACATCTGAAAAAAACATCATTGCAGCTGGTTATGATTTCACACCCGTATTATTCGAAAATACTAATGAAGGATGGTAGGTATAATGAAGTATTTATTTATTTAAAAGTTATAAATTTTTTAATTCCAATTTAATTGTTTATTAGGAAACTGTCAAGAGTAATTGATGTAGGAAAGAAAAAAGTTGTGGGCGAATCAACTGCTTTTAATATGTTCCGCGATTGGGATACAAAAGGTATCTCCTCACGTAGTAATAATGACGACTCTGAATTGAATACTATTCATCAAAATACGATCAAGTAAGGTCCACTAAATTTTGTTATAATAAATGCGTTGAACTTTTAAACAATTTTTTTTTTTTAAAAAAAAAAAATTAGTTCGATTCGACCTTATTCGGTAATACATGGAAATGTAAAACAGTTTTCAACAAGCGGATTAGATGGGAAGTTAGTTATTTGGGATTTGGAAAGTCTTTGAAAGTCTATCTAGATAGTAATTTTAAGTTAATCTAAGTTAATATTTTGAATCAATTATAAAAAAACAATATTTATATACAAAATTTACACATTTTTTTGTTAATTTAAGGTTTTTTGATTTTCAAATAAAAAGAAAATTTAAAAAATATTGTTTATTTTTTTTTAAAAGGAATGATCTTTGAAAATTTTTACATATATAACGATAATGGTAACAAAATTAAAATGAATTAAAAGAGTGGGGGTATGTTTTTTATGCATTATATAATAACTAAATATTACGTTTGATTTACACAGTCTTGATATTAATATATGTTAAATTTTTTTTTTTTTTCATGTAGAAGAGAAAAAAACTTATAAATAATTTCAACCCACTTTAAAAAAAAATTTACATAAGAAAACGGAAATAGAAAAATAATAATGGTATGTATGATATATGGTATACGTACTGTACTATAAGAAAAAACCGTTGGCATAAGTGAAATAATTATTAAATTTTTTTTTTTTTTGAGGTATATCATGATATTATTATTATAAACTAATCTATACTAAAAAGACTCACTTGAATGGTTATATAACTAATGAGAAATGTGTGATAATAAATAGATATTTTCTTTTCTTTCTTTTTTTTTTTGTAAAAATATATAACAAATTCTAAAAACATCAAGTAAACCCACATTAAATTGTCCTTTATTCTCACTAAAATATCCAAGCTAATAGTAACAAATTCAAGAATGTGTGAATTTTGTACTTAAGATGCTTAAAAACATTTAATATGGAAGAGAATAAACACTTCACATATTTTATTGTTATAAAAAGCACTAAAACTTATTTTGAGACTATGAATTAAACTCCAATAATTACCATTATTTATTACATAGACCATCGAACTACTTAATATCACAACAATCTTGTTGCGTAATGAACAATATTATCAATTATTTGGATCTGGATAAAGCAAACACACCAATAATCGCAACTGCAAGTGTAAGAACAGCTCCGGGCAACAATAAATCATGTGGAATAGGCAAATTATAAATTGGTGCATGTTTGTTGCGTCTTTTACGTCTTCTTATATCGAGGATTTCGTCATCATCATCTTCCTCGTCTTCATATTCTTCCCTATAAGATCTTGATGATGGTTTCTTTTCTAATTCTTGAATATGTAAAATTACACGACTCATGCCCTGTCGTTGTGCAATTCTTACGGCATCGACAACATCATCATCGTTTGACATTGAAACGTGGTCGTCATCCTCATCCACATAAGAGATTGTGAAATCTCGAACATTTGAAGGTAGTTTAGAAGTCACTGTAGCTCGAATATGTTCAAAACTTGTATAGTCCACAGTAAATCGATGCGATTTTCCATTGGGTGCTTTGAATTTGAAGGTAAAAAAGTTTTCGTCATGACCTCGTGGAAATGACGCTAAAGAACCATCATCAATAGCTGAAGCTGATTCGCTTGGATGGATTTCGGGGATTGGAGAGATGTTTCCTGATCCACGCATCCTTGAATTTGGTGATGGCGGTGGGATGTTTGAAACGCTTTGTGATGGAGCGATCGAATCAGATACTGTAGATTCATTATCACCATCATTAGCAAGGGAATTCCAGAATTTATTCCACATTGGACCACCTCCGTCATTGCCATTTTCCTGATTTTGCATGGAATACATCTATTAAGAAAAATTTAAATTTAATCTTGACCATCATATCTTATAGAATAATAAGAACAATCAAGCTTTAATATTAACCTGCTCCATTGTGGCATATGTCAATTTTAATACATCGACCATTCCTAAAATGCTTGCACCGTCAACAACTGGTAAATTTAGATAATGGCCATCTATACAATTGAAGTGATATAAGTAATGATGATACACAAATATGTAATATAATGCCTATGCTATATTTGTCGATTAATTCATAGGCAAATGAACATAGTGAACATAATTTCATTCACAAAGATATTAGATTTAATCAAAATTTATATTCTCCTGCAGGATGACAAGTAATGCAGTGCCGTATACTTTGCAGACTTGTTTTAATACAGGAGAATACGTAAAGTCAAATCATATAGTATAATTAAGGGACAATCGATATTTACCGTACATCTTTTTCAATGCCTCTAGAATGCTTGTATGAGGTGGTGCAGTATCAGGGTGTGGTGTCATTACTCGGACTACACTACATGTTGAAGGATCTAACCCAGCTGCTATGACCCTCAATACAATATCTTTACTGGTAAAGATACCAGCAATCGAATTATGTTCCATGACTAATACTGCTGTTGTTCGATATTCTCTCATTAATCTAGCTGCATCTCTCACTGATGTTCGAACACCAACTTCGGCTGGCATCGAACCGTCCAAAACGGATGTTAAATCCGGACAAGCCATCTTTTCGCGTAACATTTCCATATATTGAACGATTTGAGTAGGCTGATTTGTTGCCCATTCCCTTTCAACACCTTCAAGTGCATCATATAATTTTTTGGATGAGCCATATGCTCGTTCCATTTTATCCAATGCCTCGTAAAGACATTTAGTGATGTCGAGCAGGCCGACAACATCACCTTCTTCGTTACATACGGGCTATCAAATTATAAATATTTTAAAAATTAATTTTTGGATTTTATCAGACATCATGGAACGATTACATGAAAATATTTGAATACATACAAGATGTCGAAATCCACGTGCAACCATTGTATTAAGAGCATCAGTTGCTGAAGTATCATTTTTCACACACATTGGGTTTCTAGTCATTATTGTTGCTACGGTTGTGGTTCTTGCGTCTAAACCATCCCCAACTACCCGAAAAGCCAAATCTTTGGCAGTAAAAATTCCGGATAAATGTTCTTCGCTATCTATAACAAGCACACAGTCTGCACGCTTGGCTGCCATAAGTTGTGATGCTTCAACAACCAAAGCACTTTCTCTAACGGTTAATGCTTGTGATGGATTAAGAGACGCAACGGTTCCTTTAGCACCTGTAATTGGGCGTTGTGGTTTTCCGCGGTTTAACGACAAGCTTTTTGTCCGGTTTTTCTTACTCAACTCATGTTCGACTTTTTTTCGGATCGCCTAAATAATATGGTAAGTACACAAGTTGGAAATAAAAAAAAAAACTTATGAGTAAGGCATGCAAACTAATTGTAGGATGGGTTTGGCCTTCTCATGTCCACACACTGCGACAGTGATGGGGTCATTACCTCATCCTTCTTTGACATTCTTTGACGAGCTATATCATCCAAAGGAGAACCAACCTCAGAAGAGCCAGAATGGCTTTGAGCTGGTGTAGGATAACTAGGTGAGGATGTTTTTCTTGATCTAAAGGTTTGGGTGGACATGTTAGCAGTGGGTGGTATACTAATACAAGCAAGGAATGTTTTGGTTAAAGGGGAAAAGGCACGCGGAGTATTTAAAAAAAAAAAATGTTTTAATTTTCTATCCTTATGAGTCAATTTTTATTAACTATATGGGGTCACATCGGTATTACAATACTATATTAATTAATATATATTTAAAAAAAAAAAAAATTTAACGTCACACCTTTTAAATTTATTATAAGAGGGGTTTCCCATTAGGCAAAAGTTAAAAAAGAACGAATGGAAATCATCGGGAATAAAGAAATTCTTGGGCTATATAAAGATGTTTTTAACTTATTTATCTTTTCCTCCGAATTTATTGATAATTTTTTTTTTTTTACATCAATGGAGAGGAAATCATTCAAATGAGAACAAAGAAATTCTTGCATCATCCCACACTTAAAGACATTAAAGACGTAAAAACGAGAAAAGTATAACCACAAATTTGGCAATCTTTTTTATATTTCTTGACTAAGCGATTAAAATCATTAGATCGTTTCGATCAATGATGATTATAGATTTATTGACTCTCTCACCTTTCATCAAAAATATTCATCTTTAAATCTAAAATGAATTTGGAAAGATTCACAGATAAACGTTATTATACCATAATGTTTTGTTTTGGGCTTTATTGTTTGTTATACAATAGTCTGTTCGTTCAAACTTAACCGTATTAGATCGACCCTAAATTCCCCTACATCCAATTACATGCATTAGGTATTCCGAAAATAACAGAGAATGTTATTTATTTTAATTTTTTGAGTTGAATGACTCACGCGATATTAAAAATGTTAAAAAAAAAAAGACCGTCGCCTTCCGATGGGCTGAATTTACAACAATAAAAAAAAATTCGATTATAGGTGTAATTAGGATTAGTAATAATAAATACTGATGAATATAATAATCTTATGATAAATAATACTGATTACTTAGTAAAAAAGTGAAACACATGGGATGTGATATAAATTAAAGAAAAATTTTGGGTTAAATTATAATTAATCAAAATACTAATTTAGGATTTAAAGGTTATAAATGCTTTTATAATTTTTTAATATTTTTAAATTTACAATTTGTATTAATTATTAAAAAATAAAAATAAAAATAAATATATGTATTTTAATTATTTATTTATGTATTATTAAATTCTAAATTCTTTATAAATAAAAATTTATTAATTAATTAATAAATATTTTTTATTTTATAGTATTAATTTTATATAATTAATAAAAATAAAAAAATATAACCAAAATAATATTTTAATTAATATTTATATAGATATGATGATAAATCAGAAACTTATCAATTATAAATTTAATCTAATAGAATATACTCTATTAGTATAAATTTATTTATTTATCAATATTCTGATTGATAATTTGATATAAATGTTATATATAATTAATACCAATTGATTACAAATATGTAAATTTATATTAATTAAATATTATAAGGTGTAGTCGCATGTGACTTAGATTAGGTTATGAAGGTAACTTCATAGTCTGCCAGTAACTTCATAATATAGTGGTAACTTCATAGTCTGCTGGTAGCTTTATAATATAGTGGTAACTTCATAGTCTGCCAGTAGCTTCATAACATAATGGTAACTTCATAGTCTGCCAGTAGCTTCATAA